ACTTATCGTTGAAAAAGACAGATCGCTCAATTGCTCAAGGATAAATGTAACCAGGTCAGTATATAAATAATCCATATATGATTTTTTATGCTCCAGTGAGTTTTCATCTATAATGACCTTTACATAAAATAAGATTGAATAAGATTGATACATTTCACACACAGAACACATTCTGTCCATTTTGAACTACCATCCACCCCTGGCTTTATTTGTGTTACATTGGTGTACATGTCTTTTGATGCTGATGACCGAGGGATTTTGATTGTTTGCTCTTCTTGAATTGTAAAGTTATTTTCAAAACTATCTATGAATTTAGGCACCTGATACAACCTCTGGAATTTCAGGGGTCCGTGTTTTATGCCCTCTTCAAAGTTTGCTTTGTGTATAGGTATTTTTTTTAGATCGATTACTATTTGTTATCTTCAACCTATTTCAATACTATTATTTACATGGTATTTTTCATGACACTCTTTCTATTCAATAGATCATCTCCATATGATCGATTTTGAATTTATATTCTTTTTCTGTAATGCCTTACATTGTATGAGGGGAATATATGTCAAGCAAATTTTTCGGTTTCAATGAAATGCCTAAATAAATATGCAAAAATTGAAGAATAGAGTTGCAAATAAAAAGATGAATTACATTGTTAATCTTTAACGGATTCTCAGATCAAGAAATGACTCCCCCTTTAATTGATAAATTAAAATACATGTATGTATAATGAATGTGATTGCAAAGAAAAAAAAAGACCATTCGTGCAAAAATGAAACAGTTCTTATATTACGAATATTCAGAGGTGTGTGCTGTATAAATCATTGTGGCAATTAGATGTTTATATTTAGGCACTGTCATAAGGATATCAACAGTCTTGTGTAAATTCAATGTTTCACAAATTCTATGGTCGATACAATGATCAAATACATCTAATAAACAGTGAATACAATCTATCGTCAAATAGAATGTTGACTGACATTTTTCATACAAATTGTTATGCCATTATTTTTACACTGAATTGTCTACCGATTTTTCTGTTTTCATGACAAGGAGAACACGGTGGGTGTGAGCGGTTGACAGGGAATACTTACTCCTCCATGCACCCGATCCCATCTACGATGATTTTAGAGGTCAGTGTTTGCTTTGCTCCCAATCTGTATTGTTTCAATTGACTTTTGAGCTTGAATTGTTTATTATTGTCTTATTTCATAATTAACATCCCAGAGCTTGGCGCACACCTAAGGGTATGTTTCCTCTATGTCTGTCAAAAGAAGTCAAACTTTGATCTTGTTAATATTTATAGATATTTTTTTTTAAATACTCCTCATAAATTTTAAGTATAATTTTAAACCTGTATTTTAGTCATGCATTAGGACATATTTAATATTTGGAAATATTTCCATATTTGAAAAAAAAAATATATTTAAAAAAATGAAATAATAAAATTTGATACATGCACAGATAACTTATTTCATCCTAGAGAATACTAAATATTTATCTCATGCTATAACTTTATCTAACGATCAAAAGAAAACAAAATACAACTTTCCTTAATGACATTTCATACTATATTCTTATATTATAAATTCAGAAAAAAATGTATATATCTATCTTTGATAATCATATTTATATATAAAAATGGTGTAACTGAAACTGTACATTTGAAAATATAGACTAAAGTTAGTAACAATTTGATACCATTTTAACGATTCATTCATTCTTCTTTTAAATAGTCGACCGCGTGGTTCGACAGCTAATTCTTACGTCCCGGGATCGAATCCACAGAGTGACGTGGAGACCAGTCCTTTGATTAAGACCGTATAAATCGAGGTCCCGTGTCGCAGTAGGTGCAGCTGGCACCAAAAAGATTCCCCATTGCTCAAAAGCCGTAAGTTCCGAGTACAGGTCTAAATTTGCAGCCCTCCACCGGCAAGTAGTGTTGTCTCAATATGAATAAAGAATTCTGAAGGGACGTTAAACAGCAAACAAACAAGCAAACAAAACTTTCTTAAAATATATGTACAATCCTTCCAACTACATGTGGTGTGCTTGTATGCAAGTTAACATGTCTTAGATATGTCAAAATAAAAAAAAAAATCCTTAACTCAAGATATTTATACATATACCTGACATAATTAGCAGGTAAAAATATACTTTATGATGTATCTCCAGAGAAAAATACATCAAGTATGCTACAGGAATTTTAAGAGAAATCTTCACATCCTAAATTTTTATCAAGGTAATTAATTTATGACTGACTACTTTTCTCAAATTAAATATAAAGTACTTTAAAAAAGAGGACATTCTCTATTTATCATAATGGATTTTTTCCGAAGGTAAAACATATTCAACCAATGAGAACAAGCCTTACATCTGAGCCCACTTACGTCACTAAATGTTAACGGCCAGTAATTATCCAGCATTACAAATATCTGTTGTTCACTGGCAAAAGAACCCGTCATTTGGTGATCGATGAAGTGATGAAGATGGATGAGAAGATCGAACCGTCCTGGGGGAGGATGTGATATTTAAAAGTAATAAATAAGACAGTACCACCATTACAGTGACAGTTCTGGACAATGGTTAGATTATCACTCTTCATTCTTCTCTTAAACTTCCTATTACGTAAGTAAGAATCTAGAAAGAAGCATTAATTATTATTAATATTAATAATATTAATTACTATTAGCATTATTAAGAAGCATTCATTAAACATAGAATATTATATAAAGATAAAATCTTCTAAAGGTAAAATTTATATCTTTTATATTTATATACGTTTACTTGTGACATTTTTCAAAGGTAGTGTTTGAAGTAATTGATAAAAATTCAATATTTGCCTTAAAAATAATGTCAGACGCTTGATACAAATGTTTATTTGCATGAGAAATTTATATGCACGTATGATGCGATACATTGCAAATGATGCTATGGTTATGTCCGGATTGTGACGTGTCAAAGGAAAAGTCTGCTACTGTATAATAAAACACCTATGTACTGACTATTAGAACAATAGCTGGTTATAAATTTGCAATTGTCCCCGTAGCAAGTACATAGGTGTATAATATTAAACATTAAAATGCTATCAAATTCGTAAAACTTTGCAAGCACATTTATTCGCATAAAACCTTCAAAAATTTTATTCATTCCATTACTTGATTTAAATTTATAGTTTTCAATAAAACGAAGTTAAGAAATATATTTTGTATACGAAAATCACCTTATAAATTTATTTTTTTTTAATTTCATAGACATGTCTTGCATATTGTTTAAGTTATGTAATGAAATCTTTTTCTGGTCACCAGTTGTCTGCATTTATATTTGATAGAGGTCCAAGGGGTTCCAGTGGCTGGTGTCGGCTATAACCGTTGTTGTCAGCTAGCTGGTACAGAATATAGCCCTTGTTGTCAAAACTTGCAATGGTTTACAGAGGTAGGTCCTGATGGAGTACCACGTGAAGTCCAGCTAACGATGGAGGAAGTCCAAAGACGCCTCCGGGAACAGAAAGCTCAGGGAAACATCCACATAAATTATCACGGGGAATCAGGTCCCGTGGGAATAGAAGAGACGCCGGAAGAAGAGAAACAAAGACTAGAACTTGAGAGACTGGAAAAAGAAAAACTAGAGCAAGAAAAACGAATAAAGGAGCTGGAAAAAAAAATAGCAGAAGAGAAGAAAATAAAAAAGCCAACGGTAAAGACAAAAACAACACAGAGACGGCCAAACAGAATCAGACGGCCAAACAGAATCAGACGTCCAAACAGAAACAGAAATCCAAACAGAAGACTAACCCTGAGAAGAAATACTCGTCCACCTGTCTCGGAATTACAGCGTACACGTGATGCCAGACTTGCCAGAAATAGAGGACCTCCAAACGTTAAACCAGAAAAGAAACCAGAGAAAAAAGAAAAGTCGAAGAGGCCTAGGGGGTTAATTCCGCGATGGATTGAATCAAACCGGAAGTTGATAAATAGAGTAAGGGAGAAGGGCTTTTTTGGATAAACATTGAGGGATGGGAACATGATGTTTTGTTATTCAAGTACACAGTGGAAAAAATTGTTGATAATTATAATAAAACATTTAATATTATTTAATTATACTTTAGATAGAAGCAATTCTGCAGATGTTTATAGTTGTTGTTCTCGGATTTGTACAATACTTTAAACTTAAGTATTATCGATAAACCTAATGGGGCAGAGATTAAACGTTATAAAAACTATGACTGTGTTTCTTTAGTAATGTTTATTATTTAACCGATGATTAGAGAAGGAACAGGTTCGACATGAATTTCACATAATGATAACATTTTATCATTTATCCAGCTCGTTATGTGTTTCTATCCCCCAAAACCAAGAAAAAAACGATCAATAGAATTAGTAGAAATTGAAATACATATGTATTCAACTGTCGCAGTGACTGATGTTTGCACTTTTCTAAGGAAGTTAAATTGAAATATATGAAGATAACGAACAGTCTTCAAGCGACATTTAAGGTTTGGAAAGGATCGGAACAAAACCAGGTAAGAACAACACGAACAGCTACAAAATAAAAAAAAACAAAACAGAAAAAAAAAAAAATAAAAAAAAAAAGCAAACGAAAACAAATCCTAAATATCAAGTCAATGACATGATATGGATAGCATATTAAAAATGTACATGTATTTACTTTACTGTAAATTACAATAATAATAATGCTAAAAATAAAAATAAAATGAAAAAATAATAATGGTAATGATAATAGTAATAATAGTAAAATAAAATTGACAAACATATGTTAAGTTCTAATCAATTACTGTCAAATATGTTTGTAATAGTTTCATAACTGATTTTCTCTACCAATGATAATTGAAAATAGACTGTCAAATGCAATGAACCTTGAAACTTCTCTCAGCTTACGTCACAGGCAGTTGAGAACCTATGTTACTTCAGCATTAAGAATGTGTGTTGTTTATTGGTAACAGTACTTACTGCTGATGGATTGCGTGAAGATAGATGACTGTCTTAGAGGGCGGTACACACCTGTGGGGATTAAAAGTCATAAAGCCAAGACGACAGAAAATCTCAATATTTATAATAATTCAGGACAATGTTCACATCGATGTTTTTCTCATTACTTGTTTATTTCCTTTCAGGTAAGTGTGATGAATTTCTTGAATATTTCACTCTTTTTTGTCTTTCGTTTTCGTCATTAAGGGATTCCGATTAGTTTTTAGGCTTAACAATAACCTTAAATATAGCAAAATGAAATGAGAAGTTTTTCATAAAACCAGGATTTTAGAAAACAGCTGTCCGAAATGAAAGCAAAGAATTCAATTTTTGAACACTAAACGATTGTTTACGAGGATGGGGTACATTCATATTTCTTTGAATCTAAAATATATTCATTTATCAAATAGAGGGGATAAATTGCTTTCTTTTAAAAGAAAACCTTGATTTTGCATACTTTTCATGCATGAACTAGGTATTTAAGACATTATCGTTTGAGAAGGGGGAAAAGAGTTGTTGGCTGATAAGTTGGTAGAAATTCGTGTAAACTACGAAGGATTGATACATCGAATAATATTTTCAAATAACCAAAAATATTTTACACAATGTCAGAGAAACTTGATTCGTAGATGAATCTCAGGAAGAAAGCTGATCCGTTCAGGAGGTTGTATACTTGCAGAATTGATGTAAATATCTGTAAATTTTTGTCCTCCTTCTTAAGTAGAACAAAAACTAATGCAAATCTGGCTTCATATAAACGCTTCCCGATCATTTTCTTTTAAAACACATTTTAATTTTTTTTTAATAGGAACTCTCTGTTCTGCTCTCGTTGTTCATGGTGGACATGACCATAACCACGGTGGTCAAGATGTGCACGGACACGGTGGTCAAGATGTGCACGGACATGGCGCTCATGATACGCATGGACATGGTGGTCGGGAGGTGCATCGCCAAAGTGGATATGGCGGTCAAGAAGTGCAATGGTTCACGGAAGTCGGCCCTGATGGAATACCACGTGAAGTACAGTTAACCATGGACGAAGTCCAGCGACGTCTTCGAGACCAACAAGCTCGTGGAATCACTGACACAAAGTACTATGGAGAAAATGGTTTAGTGACGATAGACAGGGGGCATTTGAGGCCCGGGGAATTGCTTCCCGGTCCTGTCGATCCATGGGTCTCGGCAACCTTTGAGGAAGAGAAAAGAAGGTTGGAACTGGAAAGACTGAGAAAGGAAAGACTAGAACAGGAAAGACGAATAAAGGAGCTGGAAAAACGTCTGGCTAACGAGAGAAGACAGAACTCAAATAGGAGAAGGCCAACTATTAGGAGACCTAATCGAGTAAATAATCGAAATCGATTGAATATTCGCAGAACAACTGGAGGAAATACTCGCAGACGAACTGAGGGAAATACACGCAGACTAACTGGCGGAAATACTCGAGGAAGATCTTCCTCACGTGGACGAGGTACTATACGCGGGAGAGCACCAGGCAGAAGAAGAAATGTACAAGAAAAGAAGCCTGAAAAGAAAAAAGACAAAAAAGAAAGTAAGAGACCCGGGGGTTTAATTTCGCGCTGGATCGAATCCAACCGGAAGCTGATGGATAAAGTAACCGATAGAAAGCCAAGGGGTTTCTTATCGGGTTTATTGTTTGGATAAACAACAACAGAAAGGTCATAAAATGAAAACATTTGAGCAATGATTTTAAAAAAGGACACCAGGAAAGATATTATTTATTGTTATCCAAGTTGAATTTCCTAAATATCTTTCACTTTTTATGAATAAGGGATTGATTAGTAAATATTTTGGTAAATGAACGCATTTTTATTTAAGAACAATTGAATACAAAACAAATAACATGTAATTCAATTATTTATATTTTTTTGTATTTTATGAGCTAACTGTGAAAGACAAAATTGCATGGGAATTGTCGAGTTACAGACAATCAAAAGTGGAGATGTTCATGTTCATTGGTAAAATCTTCTTGTCAAAAGTACCTTTTAGAATGTTAGGAATCGTAGTGATTATTGTTAGTACAATGAACAAAAATTGATTCGGTAGGTCTCTGTTAAAAATATAAGACAAATGTTTATATACTAGAGGATCGAGAAATTCAAATGCCATTCTGCATAAAACATGTGATATAAAATAAAGAAATCATTCTAGATTCGTGTAGGTATGAAAAAAATTAGCAATGAAAATAACTCTTGATTCCTTCTAAAAATAACATTTTCCGTAGGAATTAAGTTACCGACATTGAATTTACGCGCCCTAGTGGAATGAAAGAAAAATCACGTCAGAATAGGCCAAAAAGAAACTGCAGTAAATAAGAGTTTTATTAGGACGCAAAAAGAGATGTAAAGACAATCAGAAATATCTTTGGTCCTGATCTTGTTCCAGATATACCCAAATTTTAAAAAAAAAACTTCCCATATCAACGACAAACTTTTCTATAGATAGAAAATTAACAAGATTGCTTTTTAAAAAAAACTTTGCCGTCTTTAGCAATAATCTTAAACAGTGAATTGACATACACCTCTCAGTCTGTATTATCCTTGAGCAGTTCTTGGCTTTGAATAATTTCTTTATCAGCTCTTTACAGACATAAGAGTAGTCACAAACACAAAGTAACAAGACTTTAAATGTTTGCACGCAATAAAGAACACATATCTGTTAACCTTGAAAATACAGAAACACTTTTTAACAATTGCTAAAAAAAAATTAAAAAGTCATAAATTGCAATTTCTTTTGTTCGTTTTATTTTAAAGGGATTTTAATTACATGGATTATATTTTGATCTGTAAAATGATTCCCTAAAATATTGATTATTCATTTCGAATATAGCAACATTGTGTCATGTGTACTTTTTCGCTTGAATACACATTTCCCTTTCTGTCAGGACTATTTGTCTTGGCGCTTCAAAGGTGAAAGATGAAAGTTTTTTTTTAAAATGTTTTGTTTATTATAATGTTTAAAGTTTGTTTATTCCCTTTTTGAATATTGAATAATAAAAAGTTTACAGATTTTTGTTCTTATTTATCGAAATTAAATTTCACTAATTACAACGAACTATTTTAAAAATCTTACTTGACAACCATCAAGCTATTCCATACATACCACTTATTCCTGAGGTGCGAAAAAACTTTGAATTTCTATATTTTAGGGGGAAAATCACATGTACTGTATACAGGGTAGTTTTCGCCCCGTGATATTTTCGCCCTCTCATACTTGCAAACAATTAATCCCCGTTTTCAATTCTCCCAATCACAGTTCTATTTCTAAATTATACTATGTTCTTTGAATTGGCCTCGTCGTAAATTCGCTCAGTTATCAATAGGGCGAAAGGGGCAGAAATAAAACAGGGGCAAAAATTTCCCTGTATATAGTAATATTGAGAAGAAAACGGTGAAATTATGGATATATGAACAATGGAGATTTAACGGCGCTACATATACACGATAACAATAAAAAAAACCCAAAACTTTAGTGTTTCAATTAATAGAGTGAAAAAGATCTATGACCGTGCAAAAAATTGCATATATTTCATACATAGTTGGTAGATTAACCTTCAAAACAAAAATTAGGACTTAAGACATGATTAATGAACATTCGCATTTCGGCGCCTGATTATTCCAAGTATAGCATTTTAAACACTTAATTTACATAAGCTTAGTGAAGGCAGTATGTGTATATAAGCACATCCAGTAATGTGATACCACAGTTATATTGCATTGACGATCATGGCCTGAGACCTGTAGCTCACTAGTCTTAAAACGACCAATTTTTTTTTAGACCAGCGATCTTCAAATCGTCAGCTATATTCAGTAGAATTTCATTCACTTCGTGTAATAAAATAAAAAATTGTAATAGTTTAAAATCTGAAAAAAAAAAAAATCAGAGTCTAATATTTTGGTAAATGGCGAATGGTGGTTGTGTCGCCCGCGTGGCGCAGTGGTTAGACGTCTGCTCTAGAGTCACGGAGTAAGGAGCTGGTCCTTACGTCGCAGGTTCGAATCCACTGCTGGACATGGAGACTGGTCATTCGGATGAGACAGTATAAACCGAGGTCCCCTGTTGCAGTAGGTGTTGACACAAAAAAAATCCTTCATTGCTCAATGGCCCTGAGTGCCGAGTATTGGAATAAATTTGCAGCCTTCCACCGGCAAGTGGTGGCGTCTCGATATGAGTGAAATATTCTTGAGAGAGACGATCAAACTACTTGAAAGAAAATTAAACATCTTCGCTGTTAATTGAATGTATATAATAACCTTTTCTTAAGTAGTTGAAAATAAAGGCCTAAAAACAATCATCGTAAAATATTAAGGTCCGAACCTTCATACAGGGAATCCAGATCTTTTATCTGAGACTTAACGTCGTTTCTATCGAGAATTCTTTCGAAGATTATGCCAAACGATGGGCTAAATAGAAAAAAATAGACCTGAACACTTTGTCAGGATGGATTAAATGTTTTTAAAAATATTGAAGAACAGTGTAAGAAAATTGAAAGACAAAATGCGAACCATCTTTCCTTAGCTTCCGTTTTCACAAAATCGGAGGTGATAAAAGAATTAGAATGACTACATGAACAGTATGTCATGGTTCCAGCAGACAAGGCAAGTAACAATTTCGTATTTGTTTGTAGAGCTCATCATTGTAATAGAATTTTGGATCAACTTGGTTTTAATTCTACGTCTGTAAATGCTACATATACTCGCAGTTCACTTCCCAAGAATGAATTCTTCAAAATCACATTTCAGTTTTTGTTTATATACTTTTACCACTCCAGTCAACAAACCCTATCCTACTTTTTTTTATTATACCTATATACTCTACCTATAATGGATTCCTAAACTTCATAAAAATCCGTACAAACAAAGATGTATAGACGGGATCCAGCAAATGCTCTAAAAAGCCTCTATCTTTACTCCTTGTCAAAATATTAAATGCCGTTTAGGAGAAACTTCAGACGTACTGTGCTACAGCATATTCTAAAAGTAGTGTAAATCAGATGTGGATCCTCAAAAACTATAACGTACTTTTAAAAAACTTGAAATCACAACTTTTTTCAAAATTCTACATCAAAACTTATGAATTTTCAACACTTTATAGAACCAATCCTCACGATGAATAAAAATTTTTGATTTTATAGACAACTGCTTCTTTCATTAAATAGGATTGTGGAAATTTTCACAGCAATTAATATTTTTGTAAGGTGTACAAATAGGGGCTTGGTAGAGCATTTATTGGACCCGGCAATATATCTTTGTTTGTAATAATCAGAGAAAGTGGAAGAAAGGGAAACGAGAACTAAAAAAATATATTAAGAACAGAGCTAAAAGTAATATGAGTGTAACTATACTGGTTTCAGATTATCAAATCCCCCAGATAAACATTTTCTATTTCATATTTAACTGCAGAACAAAATATCAACGTCAACATTAATGCCGCATGTTCCTTGATGTCACAAATTCTGCAGTAAAAGTAAAGCAAGAGTAACTACATGTCAAAATTAGTCCTGTCTGCAAAAAATACTGTCGATGAACAAGATACATTGCTAGTATTATTTAGATATGATATTAATTGAATGGAATATCAAATGAATAAGCATAACTTTGAAAATTCATCAGATTTTAGAACAAAATGGAGACTTTCCTTGATTATCAAATAAACTGTGTATCTGGTGCTAAAATACGAAATCAATAATTTTGACATGCCAATTTTGCCTATTAAAACATTTTGTTTCAAATTGAAAATAAATGATAGTTTTGAAAAAAAAAAATACACGTTCAAAACATTTTCTAACCTTTATCTGCGTGTGAGGTCACTTAAAATAAAATTTTAAAATCGTAACATTCAAGTGCGCTTGTTTGTAAAATAATATATTATGAGATAGGTAGGTTAGTTTGTAGGTTAGTTATACAACTTAAGTATCCACAGACTCTTCCAAAAAATACAACATTTTAATAATTTCTTTACTTTTTAAATATTTATTTAAGGAATACCTTTTAAGTTTTATGATGTGATTTGGCTTTCTTGATAATTTACATAAACGCCGAAGCGTTTATAAATAAAATTATCACGCAAGGCAAATACTTGATAATCATCATAAACTTCAAAAAATCTGACAGTTATTTCTTATATTTTAATGCTCTTAATTCCATAAATTCACATGTTCCAAGCCCTACATATCTCTCTCTCTCTCTCTCTCTCTCTCTCTCGTGATTTTTGTTAAAAACACCTATCGATGAAGAAGTCGCCTTATGTAGAAATCAAGTATTTTTATTATTTGAAGTTTTATCTCGGACAAAGAAATTTAGAAATGTAAATATATATGTATATTGTCTTATTTTTTTTAAAAAAACAAATGAATGCATATAAAATAAATAACTACAGGCACACGGATTCAGAATTGTAAAACAAAATTGAATGATGTTCAAGATTGTGTCTATATTCCAGTTCCAATTCCTCTAGTACATTAATAATTATACACTTTGGTGCTGTTCTTCAAATCTGCACTTTCCCCAAGCAACAGTTATGATCTGTCTATATTTCTCAATCTAAAATAAAACACAATTATCAAAAGTTGTTTAAAAATTAGTTCTATCTAATTCAAAATTAGATACAAATTTTACATACATTATGCATTTTAACAAAAAGTATCATCCTTATCGACTTAGATTCGATATGCCTTGAATTGAAATGAAAAAAAAAAAATTCTCTGCTTTACATTCCAAAACTGATATGTTACCATAACGTTGAATAGATGTTTCAGAGAATATCCGTCATCGGTTTAACAAAGTTTCTTTAAACGTATGAGCATTATTTTTGTAGTCAGTCATATTAACTTATTTTGATTAAGGTCGTCTCATTGTTGCAACAGTATTTTGTACTTTTAATGCAAATAAAAATCACCTAACTGAATGTATATTTTATTTACGACCTTCACTTATTTTGCACGATGTTCTAGTCATCAATATATTAAGCTTAATAATCAAAATCTTCAATTTCATCGGATGGAAGGAAAGACAATTTGCTACTATGTTATTCTAGTAATCCGTAAAGTAAACTTCAACATGTAACCATCATATGGAAAGAGCTAGGTCCACTAATTCTATAAAATGACCTTGTCCCTATACCAATTAACTGACAAAGTCCCAATGTTTTCCATTTTAAACATTACTATAAAGAAGAGACTTGGTGCTTTCATTTAACTTCCTATAAATGAAATTTCCTTTGAGAGTTCAGTTATTGCAAAATAGGTTTTACGAAATTGTAATATTCTTGAATTTCGAAGAAAATGGATGAATATGAGCATCTTCAGCTAATAATTAAAATATGAGCCCACTCCGCGATCCAAAAATGTTTTCATGGATAAGAATCTTCTGAAACTTCTTTCATTATATAATTAAAATTTTTAGATCAGAGGTTGAAGGCTATGCAAAATATTGAAAAACAGCTTAAATATTTGGCCATTTTTAAAGAAATTTTCAGGAATTAAGGAACATGACGCAATCCAAGACGTCATAAAACATGGACTATAGAGAAAATTACTTCATTTTTAATTGATATGCAGCCATCAACGGCCCAAGTAAAAATCAACATTTTTTCCACTAAAACTTAGCAGTTTTGATTGTTCAGAAATTCATAGGGCCAAAAAGGCCCTAAGTGAAATTTGTTCAAATTTCTTAGGAAAAAAGAAAAGGTCATCAAAATAACACGTTCGTGAATTTGACGCGCAATACAACATTTCGTCATGATTAAACACTATAGCCATTGTTTATCGTGAGATATGAGCTCATTTAGCAGGAAAGTATTTCACAATTACCTGAAACAGAACTCTTTCTGGTAATATATCTGTATATACGTAGACGCGATGTGTTTTTCTTGCGTCCGATTGACCATACCAGAGATGGTGAGTTTTGCGATCATATGCTAAACATGCTGGTCTAAAAAATCCTTGTTCCTCAGAAAATAGGTAAAACAGAAAGTGTCCATCTTTATCAATCAAATGAACAGTCTTGTAT